ATCTAACTCCTTATTGTTCTTGTAATTTTCAGGTATGTATTTTTTATAATTTTACATGTACAATGCTTACAACTTATTTTATGGAATTTCTTAACTAACAATTCCTTAACATACAAGTCTTTATTTTGATTTCTATTTTCATTATGGAAAACTATGCTGGAGAAAACTTTCTTTAGTTTTCATAGTACTAACATGCTCCTGCAGTAGCAATATCATGAGGAAAGTTTAAAATAAATATGAATTAATCTCATGTCTTCTTGTGGCTAAACAAAACAATGAGTTATTGATGAAAAATCACCAATTAATCCTGACCGGTTCTAGTGCATTCTCTGAAGTGAATGCAACATCATATAATCATAATAGTCATGGCTCTAACCGAGGTCGTGGAGGTTATCATAATTAGTATAAAAATAACAGTATTACAAGTAACCACCAAAAGTTGAAAAATAACAAAAATCCACATCCTAATGATAAAAGTGGTCAAGGCAAAAACAAAAGGTTGAAAATGTTTATCACTAATGTGGAATGATCGATCATTGGTCTTGTACGTGTTGCTTACCAAAGCATTTTGTTGATCTTTATCAAGATTTTCTAAAATATAAAGAAAAATATCGAAACAAAATTTATTCAAAGTGATATTCATGAAGATCAACCAGAAATGACACATTTAGATGTTGATTTTCTTGTTTACCCGGAAGGGACAAGTGGTGATATGGATGATGATTGATCAGAATAAATGTGTAGTTGTTTCATGATATTTATTATGTTTTGATGTCATATTCGTTTCATGAGAAATGATGTCGTCACAATCTTCCCAAATTAATAAAATATGAACTTATTTTTCTAAGTCGAATGTTTCTCATGTTTTATTTATTTATTGAAAAGAAACATGGATATTCGCAAAAGAAATAATAAAGATATATTTCTTGCAGACAATGCAATAACACATAGCATTTTTAATAATGAAAAATATTTTGCTTATTTATCAATTGTAGAAACAAATGTTAATACAATAATGGGTAGTGCAAAAATGATTGAAGGCTCCGGAAGAGCGAATATCATATTACCACAAGGGACAATAATTACAATTGGAGATGTATTATTTTCATCAAAATCACCAAGAAATTTATTAAGTTTTAAGGATAATCGGTCCAACGGATATCATGTTGAAACAACCAATGATTGTGATAAAGAGTATCTCAATATTACAAAAATGATATCGGGTAAGAAAAGTTTTTTGGAAAAATTATTTGTATTGTCCTCCGGATGTACTATACAAATATTACAATGATTCATGCTATTGAAAATAAAAAAAGTATGATAACACCTACAAAGTTTGGCATGACCGGTTGGGCCATCCCGGATCAATTATGATGTGCAAAATAATTGAATGTTCAAGTGGTCATTCCTTGAAAAACCAGAAGATTTTTCAAGCTAATGAATTGTCTTGTGTTGCATGTTCTCAAGGAAAATTAATTTTCTATCCATCATTGAATAAAGTTGGGTATGAAAGTCCTAATTTTTTTTTAAATGAATTCAAGGGGATATATGTGGACCAATTCATCTATCATGTGGACCATTTAGATATTTTATTTTCTTAATTGACGCGTCAACTAGATGGTCACATGTGTGCTTGTTATCTAGCCGTAATCTCGCTTTCGCAAGATTACTAGCACAAATAATCTGCCTAAGGGCACATTTTCCCGATTACCCGATTAAGAAAATTTGACTTGACAATGCTGGAGAATTTACATCGCAAACTTTTAATGACTATTGCATGTCGATTGGGATAACTATTGAACATCATGTTGCATATGTTCATACACAAATGGTTTAGCTAAGTCGTTAATCAAATGCTTTCAATTAATTGCAAGACCATTACTAATGCATTATAAACTTCCTAATCAACATAAGGGCATGAAATTTTACATGCAACATCACTTATATGCATAATGCCAACTAGTTATCATGAGTTCTCCCCTATTCAACTGGTTTGCGGCCAGGAACCAAATATTTACCATCCAAGGATGTTTGGATGTACAATTTATGTACGCATTTCTCCAACTCACTTCACAAAAATGGGTCCTCAAGAAGAATGAGAATTTATGTTAGATATGAATCTCCATCTATAGTAAAATATTTAAAATCATCAATCGGAGATTTATTTATAGCTATATTTGATGATTATTATTTTGATGAATTATATTTTTCAACATTAGGGGGAGAAATAAAGAAGCTGAAAAATAAAATCTCTTGAAAGGAATTATCACATTCAGTTTTAGATCTTCGTTCAAGTTCATGTGAACTTGAAATAAAAAAGATAATTCATTTACAAAATGTAGCAGATCAATTGCCACAAGCATTTACTGACCCTAAGTGAGTAACAAAGTCTCATTTAAACTGTAAATGCTCTGGTTAGAATTGATATCCCAAAAGGAAAAAATACAACTACAAATGAATCAAAGGCACACCTGAAGCGTGGAAGACCAATCGGTTCCAAAGATAAAAATCCTCGAAAACGAAAGGGAGCAAATATAATTGATGGTCCAAAAGAGAAAACAGAATCTTTTGAAAAGATTAATGAAGCTCTAGAAGAGCCCAATGACATAACAAAAGAAACCGGGGTACCTGGAAATTATGAAAATGAAGAGATCTCAATAAATTATGTCATGGCAAAAATAAGATGGAACCGAAATAAGATAGATGTCAACGATAAATTTTCATATCATGTTGCGTGCGAGATTATGGAATAAAATGAGGATCTTGAACCTAAATCTATAGATGAATGTAAAAATATAAAAAATTGGCCAAAATGGAAAAATGCAATCAACAAAGAGCTTAATTCTCTTACTCAACGAAAAGTTTTTGGACATGTAGTCCGTACACCAAATGGAGTAAGACCAGTGGGACACAAATGGGTATTTGTGCGCAAAAGAAACGAGAAGAATGAAGTTGTGAGATATAAAGCAAGACTAGTGGCACAAGGTTTTACCCAAAGGCCCGATATTGATTATGAAGAAACATACTCTCCTGTGATTGATGCAATTACATTCCGTTATCTAATAAGTCTGGCAACACATGAAAAATTGGAGATACGTCTGATGGATGTAGTTACCGCCTATTTATATGGTTCACTTGAGAATGATATTTATATGAAAATCCCATAAGGGTTTAAGGTGCCAGAAGCACAAACTCCTAATTCTCGTGATGTATATTCGGTAAAATTAAATAAATCTTTGTATGGATTGAAACAATCTGCCTGTATGTGGTTCAATTGTTTAAGTATATTTCTTTTAAAATAGGGCTATAAAAACGATCCATTAAGCCCATGTGTATTCATAAAAAGATCCGGATCAGAATTTGTGATAATTGTTGTTTACGTAGATGATTTGAACATAATTGGAACTCCTAGAGAATTGGAAAATGTCACTTCTTGTTTGAAAGAAAAATTTTAAATGAGAGATCTTGGTAAAACGAAATTCTGTTTGGATCTTCAAATTGAACACACCAAAAATGGAGTTTTTGTACATCAATTTAGTTATCTAGAAAAAGTGCTTAAAAGGTTTTATTTTATATGGATAACTCACATCCATTGAGTACCCCGATGATAGTAAGGCATTTAGATGCCAAAAAGGACCAGTTTCGGCCTTGTGAAAAACATGAAAAACTTCTTGGTCCCGAAGTACCATATCTTAGTGCTATTGGTGCACTAATGTATCTTGCTAATAATACGAGACCTGATATATCTTTTGCTGTAAACTTATTAGCAAGATATAGTTCTTGCCCAACAAGAAGACATTGGAATGGAGTCAAACACATTCTTCGATATCTTCAAGGTACAATGGATATGGGCTTATATTATTCAAATTCATCAAATGCGAAGTTAATTGGTTATGCAGATGCTGGATATTTTTTTGATCCACACAAAGCTCGATCCCAAACAGGTTATTTATTCACTTGTGGAGGTACCGCAATTTCTTGGCGTTCTGTTAAACAAACTTTATTTGCTTCTTCTTCTTCTAACCATGCAGAGATTATAGCAATTCACGAGGTAAGCCGTGAATATATTTGGTTAAGAAATTTAACTCATCACATTCGTGAGAGTTGTGATCTAACTTCTAGCAGGGACGTTCCAACCATACTATATGAAGATAATGCGGCTTGTATAGCCCAATTCAAGGAAGAGTTTATCAAAGGAGACAGAACCAAACATATATCACCAAAGGTTTTTTTTATTTTTTTATTTTTTTTATTTTTTACTCATGGTCTTCAAAAAGAGTGTGACATCAACATCCAGACGATTCAATCAAGTAATAACTTGGCAGATTTGTTCACTAAAGCGCTCCCTACATCCAAATTTGAAAACATGGTACAAAATATTGGAATGTGGCTTTAAGAAAATCAAGTGATGTGATGATCAGGGGGAGTTGGAAACACATTATACTCTTTTCCTTAGCTATGTTTTTCCCACTGGGTTTTCTTAGCAAGGTTTTTAACGAGGCAATTGTTCCAAATATCTATTATTAATCATGTATTTTTTTTCCTTAACAAATGGTTTTTCCCATGAGGTTCTACCTATTAAGGTTTTAACGAGGCATGACCACTGGATTCTCCATTTCTCTCATAACTCTCCATCATTATTTAGCATTAGTAACAACCATTTCAATGTGTTTTATGAATGTAATAATACACCATCATAATGTGCATTCATATTATAACTCATCTTTCTTCTTATTTGGATAGTATAAATAGTGACTCATATGTATTAGAAAGTTGATGATTTCATCACAAATATTGAAATAAAAGTTCTCCCTACTCTCATGTTTTTCTTTACTTTATAATTTATCTTGTTATTTGATCATATTTTATAACAGTATATAATTTTTTGGGTATATTTTAATAAATATGAAGAAATATTTAAAAATTAAGGAATTAAATTATTTTTTAATGTGAATTAAAAACTAGAGTTTAAAAATGGTTCTAACTTCTAAAGGCAAAACTGCAGCTGTGAGCTGACACGTGTCTCATAGCTGTTGTCACTTTCTTATCCGCTTCTATACAGTCCACTACTGATCGGGAAAAAGATGGCGACTATGGCAGCCATTGTCGCTCCCTTCTCCTTTTCCTCATTGTTATACTCGTCTCCTTCCTCACAAACTTCTTGCTCTTTCATACAAAGACCTCGATTCTCTTTCTCCTGCCGCGCCTCATTATCGTCACCAGCGCAACACGGTGGCCGAACTAGTTTTATGGACTTCCCATACGTCTCCGCCCCACACAAAGATCTTATGGTAGATCTAGTATCCACCGTCGAAAGTCGGCTCGGTTCTTTACTTAATCCTTGCAGCCTCCCGCCTGATGTACAGTCTTATCAGAATGAAACCGGAACAGCTCATGCTGCTCTCCATCTCAGATCCGGCGTTCAATCCTCTCAGGTACTTGTTTACTTCTGCACTCCGTTTCTAATTTTACTTAAGTTAACAATAGTGATGGTAATCAATGATCGATGCGATGCTTGAATCAGCTTAGGGTTCTGATTCTCGATTCCAATTTTGAATCTGTTGGAATAAGTTTGAAGTATAAGAAAACAGAGAAGACGTTGATGTTGCTGATCAACCAAAATTGCATCCTACAATATCTCAACAACTTGATCCACTAAGCTAAGGACCAGGAACAAGTGAGTGAGATGCTTATTGACTCGATCAAACAAGACCAACACTTGGAATTGCCAAACTTTTAACAGAATCAACTTAGGGTTCTAATTCTCAATTCCAATTTTGATCAATTTAATCAATAGTCGATACTTAGGGTTATGCAATGGCTTTGATTCAGATCTCGAAGAACATCTATGGAAATTTGTTTCTGATCTTTTCGTGCGTTCCAGATTGATTTCATATTGGGAAGTTGGCTTCACTGCGAGTTACCAACAGGAGGAGCTTTGAACATCACAAGCCTGTCAGCCTATCTAAACTCATCAACCGATGCACCCAACCTGTTAGTAGAGCTAATACAAAGCACTCCAACATCAATGGTTCTAATTCTCGATCTCCCTCACAGAAAGGAACTCGTATTAAACCCTGAGTATCTCAAAACATTCTATGAAGACACTCAACTGGATCAACACAGACAACATCTCGAGAAGCTCTCAGAGGTAACACCTTACTTCTCTTCATCTCTTTACATCCGTTCAGTTGTCTCTCCCACTGCAATCCTGGTGCGTATAGAAACAGAAAAACTAGACGAAATGATTGAAACTCATGTCACTCCGATTGCAAAACAAGTGTTGAAAACATGGTTAGATGTTTGTGCTTTTGGGGAGAGAGTAGTGGGTGAAAGTGATAGGGTTTATTTGAAAAAGAGAGATGAAATGAGCAAAAACAAGACCATTGAAATCGATCTGGGTTCAAGCTTACCAAGGCTGTTTGGCCAAGAAACTGCAAACCGTGTTCTAGAAGCTCTCAGGGAGGTTTTCTGATTCTGTTAGGAATTGTTAGTATCGGTTTGTGAAAGATTTATTTATTACTTTATAAAAATAAAAATTTATGAAAATGTCTAATAGTCTCTATATTTTGGGCAATTAGTAAGGAAATAATAGATTCAAATATAATTACTACAGTCTTTAGTATTCAAGCTTTCATACTGAATTTTGCTCTCGGCAGATGTTGATGGATGAACTTAAACAAATTCATTATAACTGATCTGTGAAAATTTTTAATATCTTTTGTTGTTCAAAATTGATTTTTGAGAAGGTGTATATACTCACAATCATAAGTGCATATGTGCATAAAACAAAAGTGCATATACATTTTTTTTTATTTAATACAAATGGTACCATAGTGTCATTGGTTACAATATTGTAATATCGAATAAATAGTAACAATCCCAATGCCTTTGGGTGAACTTTGACATACCCATGTAAAAATAGTTGGTCATTCTTTAGTACCAGTGCTACGATTAAAAGAGTTAAAACCACAAATCGAACCGCCTAACCGAATTAGATGGTCATCCGAGCAAAAAACCGAACCATAACTGTAAACCCCAACACGCAAAAAACTCATTAAGGTGCGTCTGTGGGTGGTTTTCGGTTAAAAACACTCCTAAATTCTCAACCTATTTAGTTGTCACGCAACTTTAATAATTTACTCTGTTTGTGTTATATTATCTTCCGGTCAATCCATTTCATAAATTTTTTAAATTAAAAGTATCTCTAGTCTCTTTAACAACTTTTACCGTTTAAAAAATAAATAAATAAATAAAAATTAAGCGGTTCAATTATATTTGCCTCTTCCACTTCCTCTCTGCCTTCCTCTTCTCCTTCCTCCAACTACCTTTATCTCTACCCTTCCTCTGTCTCCACCGGTATAGTGTTGGTCCTCTTGTAGTAAGTTTATAGTGACTTGTGGAGTTCATACTATATAGCAAGCCCGCAACACCGTACACATACCCCTCCTCCATAGTCATCATATGCTATCTGTCACACTGCAAAATTTGAATGAAATGTAAGCAAATGACTTATTTAATAGCAAAACCGAACCAAAGTGAAGGCAATGTTACATTTCGTTATCGGGTATATTAGGCAGAATTGTTGATTGGGCATATATACATATTTTCTTGTAAATTCGACGTCATCCCTATATATAAGGAATTGATCGAGTCCAATCTACAAAAAAAAAAAAAAAATTTGTTATTAACCGGTAAAAAGGCTCGTACATTGCACAAGTCACATTTTTTTTGTTGATGTTTGATGGGTCAGGTGCATGAAAATCCAACAACATGTTTTTTATGTTTTTTCATAAGAAAAAAAGTCAACTCAACCAAAACATCTGATCATAACAAACTACTTAGAACACAAAATATTTAATAACAAAAACAACATAAGATTTTTTATGCGAAGGAGACATCCACAAAGTTTATGATTTTTGTAACATCTCAAAAATCATAAAAATTTTAAAATTTTCAAAAACAACTCATTTCATCTATAAAGTGTTTACAAAAACCGTTGTTTCAAAAATATTATTCAAAATCAGAGTATCCCAATATCCGATGTCATAAAAACAGGAAGATATGCACGATCACGCATTCACTTTCCCACGATCATCAGAAGTACCTGAAACAATAAACTGAAATTGTAAGCCAAAACTTTGTGAGTTTCCCCAAAGTACCACCACGCAACACATAACATATACAATTCAACATGTTCGTTCCGCAAACCTCTCGGTTGGATTACCCTGGCCCACAACATCCTGTTGGATTGCCCTGCATATCACGTACTGGGTCCACAACCTCCCGGTTAGATTGCCTCGGTCTGTTGATTGACAACACACAACATTAGTCTCAACCCAAACATAACATGTTGACATATAAAAGACAACAAACGTATTCAACAGACAGATAATCATACAACCACTAATCATAAGTAGTCATACAGATCTACCAGTCTAACGCATATCAGTAGCTATCATACAATCATACCAATCCACAACACACTCAGCATATCATTAATCCTTATATAACAAGATATCAATCCAATGAACCGACCTTGGTGCCTTCGACCTACAAGTATAGTGAGGAAAACTCACCTCTCAGTCTGAAGTGATTGTTGAACTGGACACAGCTCTGAATATCATCTCTACAGTCACCTATCCAATAAAATAGTGACCAATTCTCAATTACAACTCAAAATATCCAAAATACCCTTAGGCCAAACCTAGTCAAATTATGGTTAAAGTCAAACTTGGTCAATACAGCAAGTCGCCACACCGTAACCATCCATGGCCACGTCGTGGTCGCAATGCGACAAAACAGGCATGCTCAGCCCAACTACTACGTTGTGGTGAGGCTTCACCATGCTATGGTGATCAATAAGAATGACTTAATTCCTTAAGCCGATTCCAGTCCATTCCAGGAGTTCCCAAACTCAAACTAGGTCCAAACCATAACCTTGATGGATAAAGTTTTCAACTTTATCCTTTAAACCTTGCAAATAAGTCAAGATCCAAAACCCTAAGTCCTCAATGGAAGCATAAAGCACATACCACCCATTAAGAACCTAATCCTTAGAGTAACTTCTCTAAAGTTTCCATAAGGGTTTCCAACACCTTCTGGACCATAAAAATCATAGCTTTAGGGACATGCATGTCCTTTCCATTTTTAGGGCAAAATAAGGGCAAAAAGGACCAAGATTCCATGTATGGCCTCAAAACTCAAGTCAACTTCGGATCTAAAGAGTTAAATGCCCCAAATGGCCTGGAGATTCGTAAAGTTGCAAGCTTTATAAGATATTTCCTTCCCAAACCCACTAAGCTTGAAGAAAGGTGTAATATCGCAAAATTTTCATTTTAAATTCATTTCAAAACATTTAATAATCAAGTCAAAACATTCGAATGCGTATTATAGTGAAATAACATCAGAGCACAAAATCCCAACACTACATAATGTGGAAAACATGAGTGATTGTTGTGCGATCAAGTCAGACCCTTCCCTTTCGAGTTGTAAGTATCTGAAACATAAACTGAAAACCGTAAGCACAAAGTTTAGTGAGCTCCCCCAAAATACCGCATACCATTCGGCCTCTTTTAACCGGTATCGAGTCTATTTCACCCTAAAACTAGCATATAATCATAACACTATGAGTAACAGAGACATCAAACATGTACAAGTACTACATGGAATTGTCACGAAGACAACTGTCATCCTACTACATAATCCAGTGGGTCCGTATTGGTGCTTTCGACCCACATGTATAGTAAAGGAAACTCACCTCGGATTGAAGATATCAAATCACAATCGAGTTGCTTAATCATGAAATCCTTTCACTAAATCACAAATAATAACACCCAGATTAGAAATTAGGTTATAAACCATAACCGGGGTCCCAACTCATCATCATCAACCTCTAGGGTGAAAGACTATTTTGCCTTTTCCCATATTGGGCTCAAATAGCTTGGCCCAATAACTTTATAGTTGCCCAAGACCCAAAAATGGCCTAACCCATAAACCTATGGTCCAACTATGGCCCAACGGATATACAAACCAAAATCCAACTAAGACCTAAAGCACAAAAGGAGTCCAAGACCAAAAAGAAGGCCCAAACAAAGAAAGTCCACTTCACACGTACACCTCGTGTACTCCTCGTATGTGTAGTGTACGAGCGTAGACTCGAAAAGCGAGGGCTTGATCTATTACACCCAACGTACTAGGATGTACGCCCATCGTATTGGCCAAAAGAGCAAATCCTCAAGTTTTGACTTAACCACTTAAGTTCTTAACGTCCATACGTCAAATCTACATCATTTTAAGGCGTTAACACATTAAGTTGGCAACTTTATAGTTTTGCATGACTTAATGGGACCCAATACTCGTTTTTTACCATTAATACCCATAATACCCATGCATGGTCCAATACAACACATCGATATATCGTTATTATGCACAAGGAACATCAGAGAGGCTAAGATCTAGCTTTCTAGCTTCTGGAGTAGCTCATACTCCCAAGCATGACTTAAGGTACCCTAAAATGCACAAATCAAGCCCTAAACTAGATCTATCAAAAGAACCATCAAGTTAAGAGCTTTATACCTCCAAAAGCTTTACAAGTTGGTGATGGTTCTGGATCTATGAGCTTCAACTACACCAATGCAACTTCCAATAGCTCTTCTTTCTTCAAGATCACTAAAAACACCCTCAAAGGTCACTTCCATGCTCAAAAACACTCAAATGACAATTAAGGTTTCGTTCTCAAGGCTTGGAGAGGTGAGGATGGTCATAAGAAGGTTCAAGAGTGACTTAAGGTGTTTAAAAGGGCTCAAACCCTAAAAATTAGGGTTGTTCCAGGTGGCCGTATGTCGAGCGTACGTGGATGCCTCTGCGACCAAGATATCGACCCAGTACTCCCAGTGTACTCCTAACATACACCCAATGTACTAGCCAGGGACCAAAATATAATAGATTTTAAGTTTGAGGGCAAAATAGAAGTACCTGAAAATGCGAATGTTACAAAAAGGGCCAAAATCCAAGATCTAACAACCCAAAAAGATTACCAAATTCCAGAAGAGAAGTTATACGATGAATATGCTACTCGCAAGATGATACTCCTCACCAAAGGCTTCCTTCTCCTTCACAAATGGCAACACAAAATGAAGAATAAACTTCCAAGAGTGATGGTGGCTAGGGTTAGGGTTTTAGTGCTTGAGAGGATGATATAGGTTGAATGGCCTCGTAACCCTAGCCATAATGTCCTTTAAATAGGGCTCAAAGCCCAAAAGATTAGGGTTTCACCAAAACTGGCTGCCACACCATGGCACCTCATGATCACACTGTAGAGGTCGATGAAACCCCGCGACCCAAAAGATAATGTCACACCATGGTGAGGCTCCACCACGTCTGTAACACCATAAATTTCAAAACAAATTCTTCAATTTTTATAAAACATAATTCCATCGATATTCATAAAAACAACCATTTAATTATCCAAAC